AACACTCAAGTCACTAAAGTACGACAACCTGACAGATGAATGGTGACTATTATTCTTAGCTCCCATCAAATTCATTTTGATATGGCTCTATGTGGCCAAGTAGAACCGCCTCCATGGGATTTCCTAAACTGTAATCTTTATGGAAGCAGATCTCCAGGTCTTTCTGAAGACCACAGAGCTACTGGTGAAGCTGAACCGACCACCTTTTAGTTCACTGTCAACCACTTAATCATTGTGCCATTGGGACTTTTTAAACCAGACACTAGCACTTAGCAAGTCCTCCATTATTAGGATGCTATTTCTATTTATCATAATCCTTTTGATAGAAGCACAAAAGAGGGGGAAAGCCTTCGACTTTGGAATGAAGTAGATCTAGATTCAATTTTTGAACAATTCAGTTTATCAGCTGCAAAAAAGGGCAGAGTACTTCCCTTGTAGGCTTACAGAGTAATCATATAGAAGAATGTTTATATGTCTAGTTCAATGCCTGGTGGATAGTAGATGTTCTGGAAATATTAGTTTCTTTTCCCGCTTTCCCTGGATCAATGTGGTTCATCAATATGCCAGGGCACTGTAATAAGATTTAGGACACAAATATGAATGAGACATAGTCCCTGTCCTCAAGGACTCACAGTCCAGAACAATGACAAGGTGATATGATAAGAACTGTAATGCATGAAGATATCAATCCAAATGTATTGGGAGCATAGGCAAAGAAGGATCACATTTATTTGGGAGAATCAATGATGTCTTTACCTTCAGCAATGCTTAGGCTAGGATTTGAAAAATGAGGAGAGCTTTGCTGGGCTGATCAAAATATTGGTCAGGGGAGGGGAATGTGGAATCCAGGCTATGTAGAGAGTGTGTACCACCACCCATCTGTCAGTTTGTTGTACTGTACTGACTTGAGTGTTGCTGTGGTCCTGGAAGTTATGCCCCTGGTATTTCAAAAAGCAGCAAGGTGGAACGGTTTCAGCAGAACTTCAAGACTAAGACAGACTAGAAAGAAAGGCTTGGCAATCTACTTCTGAAAATTAGCCAGTGTAAATCCTATGGCTCACAGCAGAACATTGTCTGACTTGCTTTGTTTGGACGAATCATCAGGAGGGATCAGTCGCTGAAGGATTGCATCACACTTGCTGAAGAAGGCTCTTGGTGAAATTGATTGGAAAAATAACCACAATGATGGACTTGAATGTGTCAGTGGATATGGGGATGGTACAGGATCACCATATGTGCGGCGGAGCGTAAGGTTGCCAGCATTGATCTATCTATCCTGAGTGTACACACGTGTGCTGTGAAAGGAGCCATCCATTGTTTCTTGGACTCACTAGCTGCACCTGTGTCTATCCCCACGACCCCTCAAGGGTCTTCCCCTCCGCAAAGAAGCTACCCATCTGGAGAATTATAAGGAAAACACAAGAGCTGAGAAGGCAGTCCACTAAAAGCAGTATGTATACACTTCAAAGGGAAAACTGCCAGGAAAAAAGAACTCACAACAGCTGAACAAATCAGAAATGTTAAATGTTTTAAAGGGTTTTATAAAATAAGAGTTTTATGCCATCCCAGACGTAGAGTGCTAGAAGACACCATATGCTTGATGGTTCTGTCGCTTAATTAGTAACCACCCTGAGGTCAAAAAGTTGCCCCACCTTAGCTGTAATGTGGGTCACTGTGGCATTCCCCAGGATGCCTGGGGCCAGGCTGGGAGCACTGGAGTGCGAGTCTTTCTTAGAGGTTCCAGTAAAGTTGACAAATTCAGGACCTTCCCCAACCCAATACAGCAACAGACATTTTCAAGGAACTGAGTTCAAAGCACAGTTTCAGCAGACCACAACTTAAATGACTTTTTCCTCAGGTGAATGCAAAGGGTCTCTAGGTGTGTGTTTGCATATATGCGTGCACCTGTGTGCGTGTATATATGTGTGCGTGTATGTATGTATATATGTGTGTGTGTGTATGCATGTGTGTTTGGTTTTGTGAGTGTATGTGTTGCTTTGTGTATGGGTGGTAATGTGTACAAATGGGTAAGTGTATGTGTTTTTGTGTGTGTAGTGTATCCTGGATGCATGTGTGTTCATGTACACGTGTTAGTGTGGTGGGTGGATAGACTCAGATGTCCTCGTCTCCAGAGAACAGTTCATGAAGTTGCTGTCTCTTCCCCCATGGAAATGATGTGGAAAGGATGCGCTCCAGGTTGTGGGGAAGGAAGCCCAATCCAGCAGCACTTCTGTCCTGCTCATACACCTGCTGCCCAGCCAACAGGTCTCTGGCCAGTGTGCCTCAATTCAACATCACAAAGTGGTTGCATGCCTCTCCAGGCCCAAGTTTCTTTTTCTTCCAACTCTGCTGGGGCACCGTTACCCCTTTCAGGATCCCTTCACACGGTCTCTGCCCCCTCATCCAAGTCTAGTCTCTGGAAAGTGCCTGGAAAGCTCCTTTATCCCATGGAGTAACAGGACTTGGAGAGTTTCAATGAGGCCTCAGTGTTGTCAATTACTTGATCTGTAAGAGGTGAGCCCTACTGTGCACCCTACACTGCCAGGCAGCCACAGAAGCCTTGCCCTCAAGGCTTCTGTCTCAGAACATGTAAGATGCTGCAGTATAAAGTCAGTGTTAAATCCAGCTCCAGCACAAATGGATAGTGTGACCTTGGGCAAGTGGCGTGACCTCCCTAGCATCACTGATGGCCTGGTGCTAGCGGTATAGCAATGCCTCATTCATCCTCCTGACCAAGTCCAGTCACAATAGTTAAAAAGCCAACAGTACCCAGGGGTAAGTAGAAGATCTTGGGCCAGTCCAAGAGAGAATGGTGACATCTTCAACCAAAGGACAATAAGATCCCTACAAGTGGGAATGGGAGGAAGCCCTGTCTTCTGTCCTTGGAAGCTACATTCCTCCCTCCTGCTCTCCTGGGAGAGCTGTGCTTGGCTGCCTTGCTCCTGAGCTGAGCAGTAGGCACTTGTAAGGAGGGGCCTAGACAGACAGGAGAAGCCATCAAGAGGCAGAGGGCAGGGTTGTCCCACAAAGCCCAACCTGCCCCAGGCTGGTAACTGCTCCCAGCATCTCAACATACACCACCCACAACATATGCACATAGGATACACTAACCACATCCCACCTTCCCAGTCAGTCCCTGACATACATCCACCCATGAACACATCCATTTATACCCACTAAATTCATGCACACTTGCTGTCATAGACACTCTATCCTACACCTGCAAACATTTCACATTTAAGATACATACAAAAAATGCCCATCCACATGTACACACTAACGGACTTTCTACCCACAGACTCCACACACCCGTGCATACTCTTAACTACAAACAACGACTCACTCTCTCTACAGCCCTTCTTGACCATTCCGAAGCCCTTTTACACTTATATACACACGTCAGCCATAAACACACTGGCTCTATTACTCCACGTCTCACACACAAGCTCGCACTCGCAGGCACATTTGTGTAGTCATCCCCACCCAGTCAACTCCAGCAATAGGCTTCCCGCTCGGTGTGCAGCGGCCACAATGGCCAGGAATTAAAATGCAGCAAGGAGGAGCCCAGGCGCGTCAGCACCGCGTCTCCAGGAGCGCACAGCTCTCGCCGCCGCCGCCGCCCCGCCCGCCCGGAGCCGCCGGGCAGCGAACGGAGGAGCAGGTGCTGGGAGTCCAGCCGCGCCAGCGTCGCGCGGCCGCTGCCCAAGTTCGCCCGGGGCCCGAGGAGGGCCGGGCAGCTGGGAGAGGAGCTCAGCCGGCGCCGCCGCCACCTCCGGCTCAAAGTGTCGAGAAGAGACGGGCACGCGGCACAGAGACGGGGCATCCCCCGGAGGTGTAGCCGGGACTCCGCAGTCCCCAGCTCCTGGCGCCGCCGGGGCAGGGAGGAGAAGAGGCAGTGGACAGCGAAGCCGGGCTTTTCTGAAGACGGGAGGAACCCGCGAGAGCCGGAAGAGGCAACGACACTTCCCTCTGGCCAACAGACTTGAGGGGGCCCGGCAGCGAGCAGCCACCCTTAGGACGCCCGGAGAAGCCCCAGCTCCAGGCTAGAGCGGACACATCGCAGGGTTTGGGCGCGGGACTTAGGGGAGCCTTAAAGGGTCTTAGCGGAGAGTGCTCTGGGAGCAGTGGACAGGGTCCTGGAGGGGAGGGAAGGAGAGCAGCAGCCAGCAGGGCGACCACTCACCCCAGCACACACCCATCCTACCCGCCACACCAGGAGCCGCGGTGCGCCTCTGGGGGCGCTCGTTCCCTGGCGCCTTCTCTCTCATGTCCCAGTGCTGCTGGGCTACGAGCCCGGCTGGTGGGGTCCTTTGAGATGTACCAAGCAGGCATGGTGGCCGAGTGGCCCCTCTCTCAGGACCAGCGTAACAGCTGGGGTTAGGCGTGGCAGGGGGGACTCAGTTCAGGGTCCCCCGAGGTCCAAGACGAGGGGAGGTGGGCACAGCGCCCAGGGACTGGGGAGGCGGCGCCCAGTGCGAACCCTCCAGAGATAAGTGTCCGGAGTCGGACATCCTCCAGAAAGACCAGGGGCCAGGAGAGCCCGGGAACGCTCCAGAGAGGCCAGTACCAGGGGCGGTGTGCCGAGGCAGCGCTCAGTCCCGGGCGGGCACCCGCGGAGGCGGCGGCGGCGGCGGCGCCGGGCGGGCATGCCGCGCCACCGGAGCTCCTTTCGGGCGCACGCTTCCCT